CGTCGACGGCTCTCTCCGGCAAGGGAAGCAAAACCGCGTCGGGCACCTCGAAGGGAAGACACGACGCGCCATGCCATCCGTCCTTGCAGCTGCACGAGCACGAGCCGCGGTCCACCGACTCCGTCCCGGGCATGTAGCACGCCGCGTCATCGTTGCATGTGCCATACCTGAACACCACCACGCCCTCCGGAAACACATCGTCGTACGACACCTCCTCATCACCCTGAAGGTTGCACCCAACGACCAACCGCGCGGGTGACGTCACAACAATGCTCGATGGAAAAAAATTGGCGAAGGAAACCCTCGAGTCCACCTGACGGTTGTGTGCAAGCGCCACGGTGGTGCCGCTGTCTGACAGCTGAATTTTGTGCCAGGAATACGGAATAGTTAATACTGAGGCTGCACTCACGCTGTTGCCCTCCACACGCCACTGCGCACCACCCTGGAGAGCCACAGAGCCGGCCAAATACAACAGCGAAGAATCCAAAAACTCCGCGCTGCCAAAAAGGATGCAATCCGCTACTCGCAGCAGCCCCGCGGACCTCACAGTGGTGTCCCCGTTAAGATAAATGTCACTGACTGCGATCATCGTGTTGTTCTCCACGTCAAGGTAGCCGCCGTTCCTTACATCAACAGCGTAAACGCAAACAAATGATTCCACACCGTCATCCTCCATCGTACTCAGCGTATTCCCCTTCACAATGATCCCGCCACCATCAACAACAACACCACTGGAGAAATAGACTGCGTAACAGTTCCCCTCAATGTAGTTGTCGAGTAGCAGCAGCGTCACATTTGCACTGAGAGCAAACTTCACAAATAAAATGGCGTGGCCCGACGTCGTCACAAGCGTACTGCCCACCACCAGTATCTGGGAGCTCACGCCAAAAACACCCCTGAACTCCAGCTCACCAGAATCTAGCATCGAGGAAACAATGTTCACGTGCACGCGTGCACCACTCCCCTTGATCGACAGGCCCATGAGGACGCACTGCAGCAGCGTGATGTTGAGTGTCTGTTGTGGTGCGTCGAAATACGACAGGTCCAGCACAATCGCGGCGGTGAAGGTCACGTTGACGAAGCACAGACCACGCACACCGGGATCAGGATCGTCCACGGAGCTGATGCTGCCACCGTGCACGCAGCGGACCTCCGTGTCGTCCGCATCGGGGAGCGGGAGCGGCCCAAGGCCGTCCGGAACCGCAGCTGGCAGACAAGTGTCACCGTAGCCGCCAGCAGCGCACACACACTCACAGCCGCTGATGCTGCTCGTCCTCGCCGCAAAGGACACGGCGTCCACGGTGCACTCACCACAGTCCAACACCGTCACGGGCGAACCAATATTGAGCTCTTCTTGGTAATCCGTCACAGGAGAGCCCCTTAGCTCGTTGCACACGCCGTAGATGATCGGGCGCGCGTCGGATGGTGGTGACCAGTTGCTTGTCATGCGTGCGATGGTCGACGAGTACGAGCCGTACGTGAATTTGTTGTCAAGTATCGACCACACACTCCGATCGCGGAACGCCACGCCATTTTTATTGGCCACATACACAACGTAGGCGGTGCGGACCTCGTTGTCGCGGTGCACCAGCCAGCTGCCGTCAGCCACGGTCAGCGTGGTTGCTATGAGCATGGCGAAGCCGAGACGGAAAGTGCTGGACACAATCTGCAGCACGCTGCCGCCATCCACCGCAACGTCCCCAAACACACACGCGCCTTTGTAGAAGCCAATGCTCGGTACACTCCACGAGCTGTTCTGTATGGAGAACACGGAGCCGTCGCTGACACGCAGGTCCGACGCAAGGGCGTACATCACGTGCATCTGCGTATTGACAGCGCAGTTGTCCATGTAGAAGACGCTGGACAGGTTTGCGCCGAGGCCGCGCTCCACAAGGATCGCAGCGCACGAACCCCCGCCACACGCCAGCATCGACCGTGTCATGACAAACCGCGTCGACAGAAGACGGACGCCGTCCAGGACAAGCGCGGGGCCATACCGGGATCCCTCGTGGCCAGGGGTAGTCTGCACGTACTGCGACCCGCCAACCGTCGCGCGCAGCGTTGAGTTCGCCAGCAGCACACTCGAGTGCAGCGGCATCGCGCCATGCAGCACGATCGTGCCCTCCAGCGACGTCACATTCGTCATGTTGACGAGGACGTGGGGCATCAGGCGCGCCGTGCTCTCGCTGAGGCCGCCAATCCGCAGCTGCGCGCCGCCCGCAAGCACGCAGTGGCGCAGCGTCACGTTCAGCGCGTCAGCGGACAAGTCCATCGAGCGCAGGTCCACCGCCACAGTGATCGGTCCGCTGAACACCACCGAGTCGAAGCACGCCGTCGCACGCCCGCCGCCAACCGTCACCGACTCCGTCAGCGTCACGCCACTCACGCAATCCTGCGCACCGCCACCGAACCTCGCAGGCGGCACGTCGAACGGCAGGCACGCCTCGCCCACGCCGCCGGCACGGCAGCTGCACACGCAGTCAGAGAACGACGCCGTCAGCGCATCAAAGCATGCCAGCGCAGCCGCACAGCCGTCGCACGGCACCACGCTCACGGAGGGCAGGCCGGCCAAGCGATAGTCGCCGCTGCTCCGCAGCACACGGCCGCCGGCACGGTTGCACTGCACCGACACGACGCCGCTCGTGATCGTCGGCCCGGAGACAAGCGTAGCGCCAGCGGCAGCGCAGCGAGCAATCGACACGGCACCGCCGCTCAGCGTCACCCCCGACAGCGACGCCACAGACGACGCCTCGCCCACCGCCCACACGTCGTGCAGCTCCAGCCACCCGCCGGCACCGACCGTTCCACCGTCGCAGCGCACCAGCGAGGACGCAACAGACCCCTCGACGCCCACGAAGCGCAGCACCGAATCGGACACCGCGAGGCGCTCGCCAAGCACAAAGCCGCCGCCGCTGCTCACAACCGACACGTTCGTCACGGAGAACACCGAGTGGCTCCGCAGACTGAGAATCGACGAGGACGCCACATGCAACGCGGAAGCAGTCGGACCGCCCGACGCCTCCAGCGACACGCCGTCAAGCACCACCGCGCTCGACAGCAGGTCCACACCGCCGCCAGCGTACACCGCCGACCCGCCCGCCTGCAACGACCTCAGCACAGTGTTGCTCACACGCAGCTGCGACTGCAACAGCGACGTCGCGTGCAGCACAAGCGGCGACGCCACCGCGTCCATCAGCCCGCTCAGCTGCGAGTAGCGCATCGGTCCCGGCGTCACAATCGTCGAGTCACGGATCGTCACGTTCGTGTGTGCCGGCAGGTTGTGCACAAACACGAGCGAGCAGTAGCTCCCGGACAGCCCGCTCACGCTCACCTCCAGGCTCCGGTCACTCGCCGGCTCGCCGCTGTAGCCCCGCACGTAGATCTGCGCACCGCCGTCGCACACGCAGTTCCTCAATTCAATGCGCAGCGCGCCGGGAAGCATCGCCGGCACGTCAAACACCACAGCCACGCCGTTCGTGATGGACACGCCGTCCATCAGCACCGTGTCCACGGCGCGGCCCACCGTGATGGCTCTCTCCACCGTGCCGCCCCGCAGTCGCAACACCACCGCATGCACCGCGGGCACCCACGCCGCCGCCGCAACCAGTGCCAACACAACGAGCAGCGCCGAACAAGGTGCCGGCTGCACGGACACGCACCCACAACAGACCACATCCACAAACCAATCAGATATCAATAGAGCTCTCGTGGTGTGTCGCAGTCGCCCCGTCGACCGTAGCTCCTGCTTCGCAGATCCATTTCTACAAATGGAAAATCCAGAAACACTATTCCGATAGATCGATTTCCCACCACTACTAGTCCTAATACTGCAATTAATCCCTAACACCTTGAAACGATAGTTGTGCTGATCAAGCAAAAGTATCTCTAACTGCACAGTCAGAAAAGGAAAAGACAGCAACAACAGTAACCAAACACAGCGGCACGCAGAGGCATCCGGTCACAGACAGTCCCCACCAATGCACAGCCACCGACAAAGAAGCACTGACGCAAGCACGCCGGCAACACCATCGCCCTCCCACCGCCAACGCAGCCCCACACAACCACCATGCAGAGTGGCGCCATCCCAGCAAAAGACACATGGCCATTGGCACCGCTCTTGTAACCAAATGTTTCTACCACAGAGCAGTCCCGATGCCGTGAAAGACACACAAGGGCCGGGGCAGACCCACGTGGCAGCGTTACAATCAGCAGCCATCGAGCGCGCAAAAGGAAGAAATAGTGGCATGGAAGAGGAGTGGAGAACTCGCCGATCGCCAGCAGTTAAGGCGTCATTTCCCGCTTACGTGGGTCGGCATTGCACAGCACGCAGCGGCATCATAAGCGCACACAACACACACAAGAAGGACAAATAAAGAAGTACGGTGGCGGCGCCCAGACACGGGGAACAAGAGTCCACGTCAATTGTGCGGCCTGTTTGCTCATAGACGGCCGGTTTGTAATCACGCCACTGCCCTGCAGTTCGTCAGTCTGCAGGAGGCTGGGGGATGGAGAGAAGGGAAAAAGCAAAGGTGCGACCCACATCCATATCGGTTAACTGTGACACCGGTGACGTCATCTCGTCAGGTCACCTGCAACAGAGACCGTCGCCGTCAGCGTATTACCTCTCCCACTGGGACGCAACTCCACCGACGCCATCACTCGCCCACTCCCCCACCAATACAGCAAGGAAGCAACAGCGGGAGAGGCGACACGTGCGACGAACACGCAGCCGCAGAGTCCCATTGCTGCCGCCATGACCAAACAAGGTCGGCTGCAGGACTCAAAAAGAAGGGTAAATACCCGATCAAACGCTTTAGCATCACGTAGGAGCACCGCAACCGACACACAAGGCAAAACACCGTAAATCAGTCACCAAAACCAAAGCTCCTCCAACAAATTCATTGTGAAGCAAAAGAAAAAATTCACACAAACTAAAAAAAAAAAAAAAACAATGACGGTGCAGAGGCAATAAATGGTTGTGGTGCACAGCAGCCGTGGTATCACGCCATTCCCTCATCAAACAGCACCGCACAACAACGCACCGTGACGACAGCGTGCAATGACGACGATTGAGTAGCACACACAAAGCGGCACAAACCTTTCATCTCGCACTCGCTCAAATTTACGCTCTCAGTATGTACTGCCAACGACATCGGAAATGACACGGAAGAGGACTGTCCTGTCCATCCTCCTTCTGCCCACAACAGATCTTCCCCATCCTCCTCCTCGCCACACTCTGGGTGCCGCGAAACGCCGTCAAGCAAAGCCACGTGTACGGAATTCTCCAATGCGCTGGGCGGGGCTGGCAGCCACCCATGCTCATTCTCCCGCACACATCCTCTCCCACAACCTTCCCACACACAAAAGGGAAAAAACATGGGGAAGAGAAACACGCCGCACAACGCACGCAGAAGCACCGCCATCCACGTCGCGCCGCAAGATATAGTCATGCGCACAGCAGACCCACGGCCGCAACAAGAGGGACGGAGCGCATACAAGTCCACGGCGCTGTCCTTTACTTCTCTCTGCCCCGACGGATTGGAAGTACGCCCCACAGCAGATTGTGCCGAGTGGCGCCATACACTCACAGTGAGGCACAGCGCACATCATTTGCTCCCCTACAAGTGTACTCAACAGGCCGGGGCACGGCGTCCAGTCAATCTCCTGCCATCGCAATGGGGAACACAAACAATTGTCGTCGAGGAACATCAGTGCCTCTAGCAGAAAAAAAAAGAGAGGCAATAGGGGCATTTCAACAGCACGGTCAGCAGAGAGGCAAGAAATGGGACACAAGGACAAAAAGTGGCAGTGGACATGGCACAGACAAAAAAAAGTCCGCAGGGATTAAAAAAAGGGAAAAAAAAAAAGAAACAAAAGGGTAGGAGTTCAGAAAAAACCCCAAAAATATAAAAAAGAAAAGATGTTGATTCGGCAGGGATTTTACTTCATGTGCCGGTTCGGCACAAGACGACCGTGTGTTCTGTATAAATATTACCTGCACCAAGAATAAAAAATGAAAAAAGAAAAGTAAAACAAAAAAATGAAATTGTACTGCTCCACCAGCCCACACAACATCCCTCACTTTTATTGCGGCATCCGGCCTCTTCTTCCAATCCCCCCTTCGTGCAGGCCGTGGAATGCACAGCCGCAGGGCCGGCACCGCGTGTGGGCAAAAACAAAAGCAAACAATAGGGGGAAAAGAATTCGCTCATGACAGTGTGCAGCAACCAAAAATTAAAAAAAAAGGAAAAAAAGAATTACTGAGTATTACAAAAAAACACAAGAAAAAAAAAGGAAAAAAAAAAGAAAAGAACCCGCGGGGAATGCGCCACACAATCTCCGTGAGTACTCGCAATGTCACACTCTTCGGCTCACAAGACTGCCACAAGTGCACACAGTACCAGAAGAAGCAGCAACACACAAGACACGCGCACACGCGCAGTGCTGTCACCAAGTAAATCATGCAGGATCAATTTCGCGTCGGTGATCAGGGCGAGGCGGTCCTCTGGACTCATACTGCCATCGGATGCTGAGTGATTGGTTTCTGGAACGGAAGTGTCATTTGTAGCGGCGGTGCGTGGATGCAATTCGTCCGTAACATTCTCAGCACTCGATTCACTGCCCGCAAGAACACGGACAGACTGAGAGTCAGTCGGTTGTGCAATTGGAGCCTCTTCAACGTCTGCCAAGAAAGTCGTCAGCTGTGTGGCCTTCTGCTTTTCTTCCCCCGTCGCTGTGACTTTCACCGCAGTGTCCAGTTCTTCGGCAGCCGGATGTCGAATAGGAACTGTCCTGGCGTTGAGGTCTCCGAGGTCATCGTCAAACAGCGCGTCGTCGTGCAGAAGGAGATCAGCCACCGTCACATAGCTGCCCTCTTCATCTTTCTTATTGCCCGCACCAAAGAAGAAGTGTGAGATCCTGTGTGAACCAAACTGATCAGCGTTACGGTCCTGAGCCATTTCTTTTTCATCCGTCTCGTATATTCTTCTCCCATTAGCGTACACAAACCATTCATCATCGTTATCCTTTTGCACCGTCACTCGAATTGCCGTGTTTGTTTCCCAATTGCCAACATCACCGGACGGCTTCACCAAAAACTCCATCTTGTGAAGTGTGAGGTTCCAATTTCTTTCACTCGTGTACGACAGCTGAAAGAGCACCGTGCTGGCCGTGTCGTTCAGCCTCGCACCAATCAAAGGAATGGGGCTGCTGCCTGCCTCCGGCACCTCGTGGATGACCACCGTCGCCGAAAGAGTGAACTTGTTGTTTGTAAGGTAGTACGGCACAGTCTGCCCCATGTCGCCAACAGGCCACTGTGCCCCTGCTCCCCGGAAATTCACACCGCTCTCCGTGCTGGTCACTCCGCTCCCCACTTTGGCATTCACGCCGAGGTACTCGTCCTTCCATGCAGTCCCGTCCAATGTGCTGGACAAAAAAACAACCAGCCCTTCAGTGGGAACTCCCAAGGCGTTGTCCATTTCTTTCTATGTCTTCACCGCACACTTTATCCGCTCCAGCTGCTGAGTCAGGCGCATGGCAACAAGACTGTATGTCCCATCACCATTCCTCTTCTCGTACAGTAAAATCAACTCCTTATTATCCTCACTTTTCACCAGAAGAGAACTGGCGGCAGCGTCATCACCCTCACGGGATATCGGCTTAATTTTTTTTTACTACTCTTACCAGCGCGTCTAGCTATACAGTGCCATCTGAGTGCCGAAGAGGTGGTCGAGCAACGACAAAAGTTTCCTGCTATGAAGCAACTGCCATTGAGAGAACTTTCCGAGGCGAAGGTCCTGTTCAATGCCCAGCCGTTGGCGCACAGCCAAGGTGTCTGGACATTCTAGAAGCAGATGGTGCAAGGTTTCCTGCGGGCCGATTGGCGTGCTTGTGGAAGCTGGCTGATCCTGCGGCAGCAGGGATCGCCTCCTGGCACTGCTGTTTAGATGCCGTGTGGCGTCTGGGTTGTGTGCGCAGTGACTTCTGTGCTGTGCGGTGCTTCTCCGTGTGGGGAAAACCATGTCACAGAAATCGCACTTGAGCTCGGGAAGCGGTGGAGGATGCTCCGGATGAAATGACCGACAGTGACTGACGAGATTCGAGAATCCCGTCAATGTGGAATCACAGTGCGGACATTTCTCCTTCCGACGGCGTGTGAGGTTCCGTCTCCTTACTGGAGAGACGTCTTCCTCCCTCGCCGACGGGGGAACAGTGTCCGTCCCCGGTGCAGTTGGATCGTTGTTAGAGCGCATATATGCAGACTGTTCCGGTGAGATGTTGCAGAATCGGCATTGGTTCGTGCAATCTCTGACGGCCCAGTATAGTCGGCCCCAGAGCTCAGATTCCCCGCACCTTGCCCTTGCGAGGTGAACCAGTTCCTGACGGTGAAGAACCTCCTGAGTGATCAGGTCCTTACCGCTGAGATCTGATGGCCTTGTGCCGCAAAGCAAGTAGCGATGAGTGTATTGACGAATGGTGTTACGCCACTTGTTGGGGAGCTGGGTAGTCAAACATGTCGGCAGATCCGTATGCCATAAAGGTGCGATTCCTTGCTCCGTGTATTGTCCACTTTCCATAGTCTGCGTCGCATACTGATCTGCAAGCTCGTTAGCATGTATTCCGCAATATCCGTAACAAAACTGCAGGTGCACGGACCAGCCGGCACACGTCAGTGTTAATAGACGCTGCCAGATCTGATCCTCCGTCCAGTCTGTCTGACTGAGCGGGCCCTTGTTTAGAGCCGCTAGAAGAGACTGACTGTCCGTAACCACAAGCAGGGTTTTACGCCTGTGCTGGATACGAGGAATCATCAGCTTCTCTAGGGCTAGAAGCAGCGCACGGGATTCCGTCCTGCAGCTGCATGGGCGTGCACCGCAGTTTATACTGGCCTTTTCTATTATCTCCGATTAGTTGAGGGATGAAAGCAGTATTCCAACCCCTGCTGTCTTGGGAACGTCTACACCGCCATCGGTCGCACGTATCCACGATCGATGGCTGTGCAGCGCCAGAGCCTCTTCGCTGACTCTGCGCTTTTACCGTATCAGCTCTTCTTCGTCAGTTATTGAGTGGTCTATCGGAAGTTCCACACCGATGGTGACCCGGTGAGCGGAGGCCGCAGACCAGGGAGGAATGGAGCTGCGAAAGAACCGCTCCTCGCGTGGTGAGCTCCGTGGGATGCCGTAGCCCTTTGCGTATGCGTCTACAAAGGCATATAGCTCGTCCCGAGATAATGGCGAGATGCGGAAACCGGCGCGAGGCGAAGGCTCAGGCGGGGGTCTCCGCATCCAGTCCATCTGACATGCGCGTGTGTTATCAAATATTGAGAGCCGCGCGCGCAGGCAAAGAACGTGGAGCGGCGGCATATTAGCCTCCAGTAGCGCGGATTCCGGGTTGACAGTGCTCGGAACTCCGCTGACAATGCGTGCTAGAGTTGCGTACGTCTTCTGCATCTCATTCTTCGCTGAATCCGTCGCTACTGCCCATGTGAGCTCGCTGCCATAGCGTAATTTGGAAGCACCGTATCCAATGACGAACGTGCGTAGGTCATGTGGAGATGGTCCCGCCTCTTTGTGCGCTATGCAACGTAGCTGCGATATCCGTTGCGAAGTGGCAGCGCATTGCTTGGTGGCCGCCACATTTAGCGTCAGTCGTGGATCGAGATCCATGCCGAGAAGCTTCGTAGTTCGCGATGCCCCCATGGTCATGACTGGGATTTGACATCCAGCCACTACCAGGGGCCACCTTCCTTCACGATCATAATCTGACTCCGTGTGCGTGGATAGTGTGAACCAAGCGGCTTCACACTTTGACGGGTTAATGGCCAGGCCATTTTCCTGACTCCACGCATGCAGTTTTTCAAGAACCATGTTGGCAGTGGGAATGGCGTCTTCCCGGGACTGCCCCTTAACGATAATAGAGAGGTCGTCCGCATACATGTCTGCTGTGACACCCGCAAAGCTGTTCAGCAGATTGAGAAGTGGGTGTACGTAAAGGGAGAACAAATACGGTCCCAGCACGGACCACTGAGGAGCTCCTCGCAGCATGGGACGCCGAACGCTGTGTCTGTGACCAACTCGTGTCTTCGCGTAGCGACCACATAGAAAGTTTCTAAGCCACCTTCTACAATTCGCCCCCGGAATATTAGCCAGCAAGCGACTGAGGACTCGATGATCTATGGAGTCAAAGGCCTTGCTGAAATCAACCAACACCAGCAGAGTCCGATGGGGTCTGTAGTGGGGTTGAATGCCAATACCGCTCTTCTTGGGAAGGCTCACTTGGAAATAATGATTTCTATTATGCTCCACTTCGTGTATCAGGTGTGCCAGCTGCATCGTCGTAGTACGCATACTGCGATATGCATACTGGTGGGGGTGCGGCGTCCACACCCAAAGCAATCTCTTCAGTACCATTCTCTCAGCAACCTTACTCACAATGGAGGTAAGGCTGATGGGTCGATATGACTCAAGCAGTTCCGGCGAATTATCGGGTTTTAAGAGTGGAACGATGGTAGCGCGTCTTCACTCAACCGGGATCGTACCGGTCGTCCAACTGTGGTTAATGCAACGAAGAAGGAATCGGAGGCCCTTTGACGAAATATGTCGCAGTGCCTCACTGTAGACTTCATCCGGTCCGGGGGCCTTGCCATACGGCGTATTACGTAGCGCAGCAAGCAGTTCCGTACGATTAAAAGGTGCATCAAAAGGGGAGTGAAGATGAGCAACTAAACCAGATGTGGTGGCAGCTTCGTTTTTATCCTGTGGCTCGAAACTAGATGAGAGTGAAGAACCTGAAGTAAATGAGGCAGCAGACTCGCTGTTGTTCTGCTGCCCAAAAAGAAAGGAAGCATTAATGTTCAAAGATGCACTCTGTCTGTTGATGCCTTTGGAAAACCTAACTGCCTTGTGAGAGGGGTGAAATGGAAGAAAGATGCGATTGAGAGCATTCGCTGCTCTCCTTGCTGTTTTATAAGTGTGTTGACCATCTCCTAATAACATTGATGTGGGAGATGGAAGTGATGCCTTTTTTCGTCCGGAAATGTATTTCCATACGAGAGGCTCGCCTGGATTTAACTTGCTGATGCGGCGTAGATACGTGTTGCGCCAGCGCTCTCGGAGTAGGAGGAAGAATTGACTCCTTGTCCGTTGCATTTCTGCCTCACGGTCGGGCGTCGGTAACTGTAGATAGCGGGCCTTGCTGTCGGTAGCAATCCGCTCGGCTTCCATGAAAGTGTCGTCCCAAAGCCTGGGACCGTCCTTGTGCATGCCGCGGGAGAAATGTCGTCAATGCGAAGTTATAAGCGCTCTCGTGAAGTCTTTAATGCCGGTGGACTGCTTTTTATAGTCGTATGCCGGAAGTTGTGCGTCGAAGTCCTTGACGAATGAATCCCAATTGCACTCCCCCAACTGTAGAATATCCTAGGTGCCGAAGGGGGTGCCGAAGGTATGGTATCCTTAAATGCCTGATGCAGCGTAAATGTCAGCATATAATGATCACTAAGCGGCGACACGGAAGCTGACCAATCCGACACAGTCAAATGCTTTGACCATGTCAGATCGATACAGGATCGTTCTCTTGTGCCACGGGCACACGTGATCTCACCAGGGATGTTAACCAAGGTGAGTCCCGCATCCGTGCACAGTTCTAAAAATTCTGCAGCAACCTCGCTTGAAGAAGTCTCCAAGAATGGCTCCCACTGTGGGTGATGCATGTTGAAATCCCCGCACAGCAGGAGCGGTGTTGGGCTGGGTGGGCATTCCCCTCCGCGGCGAGACACCCAGCGCGACCCTTGACCGCTGCGCTCACGCAACTCCCTCCACTCCTCTCCCTCCATTCGGCAATCGCGCAGCCGCCGGCACATTGTCCCCGAAACAACACACAAGTGAAAGCGTCGTGGCATATCTCCCAAGAGAACAGAGTGGCAGCCACACGCTGCGGCCATCGTGCCGACAGGTGTGCCCTCGGACAACTTTGTTTTGGGGCCACACACACACCACGCAGGAATCACCCACAGCAACGCACAAAAAAAGGAGAGAGAGCCACGCACGTGAAAGGACAGAAAAACACGCAGCAGAGGTGCAGGACGGACAAGGAGGAGAAGAGAAGGCCAATAAGGCTCGAGATGGCACGGCAACCCACAAGACGCTTAAAGAAACAAAAAAAAAAAATTTAAAAAAAAGAAATTAAAACGCAAAAAACAGTCCCCTTGAAGAAGTTTTTCACGCTCACAAAAAACAAGAAAATTGAAACGAAAAAAAAAAGATTCCTTGAAGCAGTTTCCACACCCATAGAAATATAACAAAAAAAGAAAAAAGAAAAACATCGTGACGAAAAAAAACAAAGAAAAAAACACGTGTATATTCTTCCCGCAAAAGTAAAAATATATTTGCGTCAGCCGTTCAACCCCCTGGTGTCCTCACAACACCCACATTTCATTGGGACATTCAGTGCGTTGCTGCACATCTTAAATCCCTTCTTTACC